CATTCTAAGAAAATGCCAATCTTTGAATGTATTTGTATAAAGGCAAGTGATCATTTTTACTGAAGCTGGAAAGCTGGATATAGAAATATGCTCATTAAGAGCTATGCTATGGTTACTATTCAAACACCACAATAGTCCATCGTCTCATGCATATACAACCTTGCATAACTGGAGTTGTCAGCATTTTCATTGTAAATTCTGCCTTCAAAGGTTTGTAACTTGCCTATAAAAAAAGTTACTGTAGCCTGAAATTTGTTGTAAGTTCTCTGCAACAGGATGAACTATTTTAAGATTAGAAAACTATGCATCCATTGGAGTTGGTGGCTGGCTTGGGGTTTTATCTATACAACCGTTTTTTTAAAAAAGAGTAAAAAAAAAAATACCTCCCCCAACTCAGCATCTTTGAAAATCTGGGTCAAAAAAAAAAAAAAATCACAAAGGAATTAAATTCCTAAAAATTAACTTTTTTTTTCCCCAAAAAGCTGCAACTGTAAAATATGGCAGATAAGCCTGGAATGTGCCATTATTTGTGCTACTTTGCCAAACAGTTGCCAGGCTGACACATTACCAACTCCCAGCGCCTCATCAACACCGACCTTAAATAACAACCCTCCCCATGCCCAATTAGTCTGCAGCTCAGGACCATGCCTCTGCTAAGGACTGCGGATTTTAAACGCAGAATGGGCACATTAAGACTGATTTAATCTGGCTGCTTGTACAATTCCCCAGAATCTCAGCTAGCAATTGCTGTATTGGGCCAAATAACTTACTGAACCGGATCTCTGAAAGGGCATCCAGCTCTCACCCGAAGCTGTGGGGATGTCACATTCCTCCATAATGGGCTGTGATAATTGCCCTTCCTTAAAAAAAAACACCCTCAGATTTAACTAATCAGTTTGAATTGTTAAACATAACCTGCAGATATCAAAGCCACTGCTCTTGTGAAAAAAAAAAAAAAAAGAAAAAAAAAAGGTAACAAGGGAAGCCTGGGTGAATTTTTTGCTTTATTTTTCCTACCAAATTGGAAGGAAGCAGCATCCTGGTGCATCTCCACCACCTCTGTCCCAGGAAGGTGACCACTGCGCGGGGTCCCACCAGCCCTGCAGCCTGGCAGCAGAGTGGCACCAGCATGGAGAGGAGCCCCGGAGGCATCCCAGGATGGGGAGCAGCCCACCACTTGACAGAGGACATCCCACCACCACAGCCTCCCTCCTCCACCTCCTGCAGCCCTGCCCACTCCCCGGGAGCCCAAGAAGCCCCTCAACAAGACCCCACATCCTCATCCAGGCAGGTCGCAGTGGCTAACGACGCTTCTCCAAGTGGACTGTGCTAACCACTGTGACCACAGGTGACATCAATCCTGAAGCGCTGCCAACATTTTTACAAAAATGAAGGCATATTGCTCATGTTATGCAACATTTTTACAAAAAGGAAGGTATTACTCTGGGTACTGTACTGAATACGTTTATATTTGCATGTTGTTTAGTGCCAGCAATAGCTGTGACTGAGTTAAAACCCAAATGACAACTCGTTACTCACTTCAGAGCCCACCATAAGCACACATCACCCATTAAAGAAGGTTGGTCTCCTTCACTGCTGCACCTAGGAACCTTCCAAACGCACATTTAAGGCCATTTTGAACTACGGTGTTTTTCACAGGACACAGAAATAGGCTGTCCCTTGTGGAAAGCTTAAATCAGTCCTTTGAAATCTGACCTAAATTAAAAGAACTGAAACAGACTGTTAACGGCCCAGGCAAGGGCTCCAAGGCTCCAAGTGGGCGCTCCAAGGACAGTGTCAAGGCACTACACGTGGGGAAGAGACTAAATTAGCCACCCAGCAGAATGATAACACACAGCTTGGGCAAGGGGAGGTCAAGGGAGAGCTTGCTATTTATCAAATATATGTCTAAACTAATTATTCAGTTCACAAAGTAACCCTTCAACCTATGTGTGCGGTCAGAGCCCTTTTGCAATGTTGGCTATCATCAAAGGCCTTCCCAGCTTGGGTCCACAGAAAGAGAATGGCTCCTTTGTACACACTGGGGTAGACTTATTTCTAAATTTTTGAAAGCAGAAAGTCTTTTACTCCCTAGGATAAAACACACATATGTAAACACTTGATGCAAGATATAATTCGATAGTTGACAGTCCCCAAAATAACTCCTGCAGGTCCTGTCTCTGCTCAAACTGCTTCACAGCCTCAGATTTTGCCATCACTACTTCAGGAAGAAAGAACCACAACCAGTAACAACCACACTCGGGATCCAGCCCTAAGCGAGCACCCACGATATCAATATTGACATTATAATTTACAACAGCTCAAGATACCATCTTCAGTGTAGATACCCTCATATGTACCAGAGTGAATATCTTAATGGTCACAGGTCAGATTCAGAGCTCAATGAGTCCAGTGTTTTATAAGAGCACCTGAGAGAAGCGTGCCACCAAAGACATCAGACTGACTGCGGATAACCAGAAGTACCTTGACGCGTGACAACATCTTGCACCTATCCTGCATGTATCCATGTAGTCGATTACCCTGTTAGATAAATACTGTGTGTACTTAACCAGATACTCTGAAGGAAACCATCGCAAACGTCCCTGAAGTTATGTTTAGCTAAGAGACAAGCGTGTATTCTCTGTTACAATCAAAGGAACAAAAAGCCACAATCTCAATTCCTGTTAACATTGCATACAGCTTTCTGAATATTCTGAGTCACTAAGACAATAAATAGTAACAATAAAAGCACCTAACATCAAAAAAAGACAAAATTTAGGCCATGTTCATGAAGGAAGACTAAGGAACAGATGAAGATGTGTCACCAAAGGTCATGGCCCCGTCGACCTCCTCAGCTGGTATGAAATGTCATAGCTCTAATGACTGCACAGTCAGCAGCCCTACCAAAAACTTACATTATTAGAGCACCTGATCCCCCAAATTAGCTGTGGCCAAAATGTTTGGCATTTACTAAATTAAAAAAGAAGCCTGCTTTGTCTTTGAAGAGATTTTTTGAAGGGGTTTTTGTTTTGTTTTCAGCTTGGAGAGCTGGTGGGTGGCAGTGATGAAACCCAGAGAAGGTGATTGTGTAAAAACTTGGGTTTTTTTAAAGGGGTTTAATGAATTACATAAAGGAGGTTTTATTTCCCAAATCTCAGATATAAATCCCACACAATTCCCTGTATTCTGCAGCATAAAAGCTCTTATTATACCATTAACTTAGAAGCCTTTTTTTTTCCCCCCCTCATTTCTGGTAATGATTTGGGTTCTCACGTCTAAAATTGTTTCATGTCAGTAACATTCCTGCCCAGGGAAGAAGTTTTAAACCCTTTTTAACAATTTACTCTTTGATAAAACCCAGATTCCACCCCCTGGTATTCACTGTGGAAGAAACATATTTTTAAACTGTACTTTTTAAAATAATAAAAGTTGTTCTTTCCCTGAAATGCTGAAAAATTATCAGGCATCATTAAAAAAAAAAAAAAAAAAAAGTTACTCTTCTCCCTGTAAAATACTCCACCAATCATGCAATCACATTCTCATTTAACCCTAAAACTAGGGGACCTCACTACAAACAGCTGATCTGAAACCAGAATTATTCATGATTTTGTCATTCCTCTGAAAAGCCAAAAAGGCATGAGATGTGCAATTAACAAATGATACAGTAAGTGGTGATGAGAGTTGGGCTTTTTTTTAAATTCTCAAGTTACCTTCAAAAGAAAAAAAAAATAAAAATCTTTGCTATCAACAACCTCTATGGCTGACAGATGACAATATTGCTATACTTTGTTAATTTTTTTTTCAGGAATGCTTGCTAGGGAAGAGGGCTCATCGTCTCTAAAGAGTTCATCCCCTGCCATCAATAAAAATGTACTTGGAACGGATTCTAAAATTGTGTTAGCTGGTGAGGTCTATTTTTAGAGGCAGTGGATAGAAACAAATAAGTTTTGCATGAAAATGTATAAAAACAAAGCTGTATCCGTGGACACAAGTAGTAGAACATGTAAAGGCCAAATTCTCTCTCCAGCAAGCTTGACAGATCAGAAATGCTCTATGGGTTTGGCAGTTGAGTTACTACAAATGTAATCACTCCTCCAAAGGACAGCTAAAACCTCATGAAGGAAGCCTCGCTTTCCCACCAAGGTGCTCAGAGAACAGGAAAGATCCTAATCAATACAGTAAAATAGTTCCTAAATACAATCAGCTCATGACAATAAAAAAGCATCCCCTCCTTTAAAGCTCTTTAGAGAAGAAAACCACTTTGCACAGCTTGAGGAAGGGATATACCTGGAAGAGCATACCAACAGGTATAGGCTCAAAATAGAAGATTTTATCAAAACACCTCTTCCATTACAAAAGGTCTCAATTAGCCTTTGCTTTTACAGTCATAAACTGCAGTCCTTGCTATTCAGATCTCAACATTTGTACTTCCAGAACTTGCAATCCAGACACTGTACCAATTGTTCTGCATTATTAACAGCAATAGGGAAATTTATTCTAAGTACAAACACCAATAAAGCTGCAACACCATTTTTGCAGAGTGCCTGGCAAAAATTAAACCTACAAGCCACATGACTGAGAACTACTGGGATTTATTTTCCTCTGAACTTCTCAGGTTAAGGCAATCACAAAGACACGCAGCTATACAGCCATTTCATTCCTTGAGATAGCAACACGTAACACGTATGCAAGTGCAACAGACTGGTTTCCTTAAAGACCCATTCCGGAAAACTTTCAGCCATATGCTTTGAATATACAATGTGATGACAGTCCCAAGTGAAATCACTGACACCACTTTCTTGTCTAAGATTAAACAAACGCGTGCTTGCATGAACACAGCCCATGTGTGAGCAAGAAAAGTCAAAAACCTTAACTCTTGAGGGCTAATCTGTTATTTGCCTTAAATTTACCAAAGCACAAAGATGTTGACTTCTATTTCAGACATTCAAGCACTTAAAATGAACTCATTTTGTGGAATTAAGGATTCTAGAGCGACTTACCTTCAGGTTCCAGTGTGGTGTCTTCAACAACTAAATTAAATGAAGGTCGAGCCAGGGAAAGTCCAGCCATGGTGACCACCACCAGGCAGATAATGCAACCCGAATCCCAGCTGACCATCTTTTTAGAGTAAATTCCTGGTCCATTTCCATATCTCCATGTGGACTTTAATCCCATCTGAACACCTCTAGAGAAGCATGGAGAGAGAGCAGTGCCTTCAGCCAGGGTAATACCTCCTCTCCCTTGGAACGATGGCTGCTGCTGTGGGGAGGAGAGAGATTCAACACCGTCAGTGAAAACATCTTAAAACACAAACCAAAAAACTTCAGAAAGCCCTGAACAGAGCTGAGGTGAGAAGGAGGGGAGGAGGAAGATGGGAAAAATAGTTTTCCAGCTTCAAGAATATGTGAAAAGTGAGTGACTTTTCATTTTCTGTTAGCAGTTTCCATCATCACCTGAGGCGTAACCAAGTCCTCCCCGTTTTCACAAAATCACTTCTCAGCACATATTTAGAAAGCTATTTTACTGACAGAAAAATATACAGTTTTTAAAAAACGAGAGGCACACATGTGCAGGCACATAACCTGTAATGCTGCAAAATTACCACAATTATACAAATTATGTTCTCGTTATTGTTTGAAGGTTTATGTAAGTTTGCCTTGTTGTTCATTCCTTCACCTAGGCAGTTCTGCAGCCAGCTGAATTTGCAAGAATTCAGTACTTTTCCACAAGAAAAACAGTTGAAAAAGTACTCTCTAGACCCGGATAATCTGTAAAACTTTGTTTCACCTCAGGACTTCCAGCTCCCCTATGGATGTACCTTCTTCTGACTCAGTTCAGTGTCCTTTTAAAGCCAAGAGTCCTGTATAGGTGAAAGGCTCCAGCCTTTGCAGGGATACTGGTTAGCTACATTACATTACAGGCAATTAAAATCTGCATAAAGTGTGGCACGGATTGCAGTTTCACAGGAGATCTCCCCAGCATCGTTTTCCATTCATATACGCTAAACAGTGTGCACATACGACTCAACTCTCTCTCTCTCAACGATGCTTATTGATACACATTTTTCAGATGGGGACGGGGGACGAGGGGCGGGGGGAAAGTCAATTTTACTCACAGTAAAACTAATCCAAATGGGTGGAGTTAACTGGTAATCCAGGCATGGGCTGACTGACAGAAGAGAGAAGCGAAGCAATACCAAAGTAACCGGCACTCCCTTTCACGGGACCCTGTTGCCACCACACTAAGATGCCAGGTGAGGGTCACAAGAGCATCCTCACAGGCTGATGTAACAGCTCAACCAGAAAATTAGACCTGATTTTCCACTTCAAAAATAAAAGACGGCAAACCTCAGTAAAAGGATAAAGCAAGTAAATGTAGCAACAGTTCTAATCTGGCCAATGATTCATTTTACATATAATGAAACCAAATGAAGCTTTGAGAGTGCTCATCTTGAAGGGAAAGATAACATAAAAAATTCTTTTTCCCTCCTGCCCCCACCCTTTAAAAACAAACAAACAAAAAAACCGAAAAAGCGTGAAAGTGTAGCCATAAAGGCAAACTTCTCAAAACTCCCTGCCATTCAGATGTGGTACCTCAGCATGCAGTACACAGACAGAAACATGGACAACTATTCTCCCTTTATAAAGCCAACCATTAAAAAGTGTATTCTGATTTTATTAGCCTTTTGCTACCTGCTACAAACCCATTCACAGTGCCAAGGGCAGAAATGCTGTTGAGGCATCTTTTATCTTGGGTACTATATACAATAACTTCTGGAGTCAGTAGAAACAGATTTTAGATGACATAAAGGCAGCACTTGGGGAAAATAATACACGGTATTTCAGGCAAATCCCTGATACTTCAGGGCAAGCTTTTTTCACCTCAGCTGATAGCTCTGTCCCTCCTTTAGAGATTTACGCACAGTGTGAGCTTCCCAGACCACAAGCTAGCAACTACTATTGGATCTCCAGTGAAAACACCACCAGACCACTGCAAAAACATTTGCAAAGAGCTCGTCGACCACTTCCCTAAATAAGCACAGAGCAGGTTTAGAACAGAAGAGAGCTCTGTCTCTGGGACTGGTTTGCATTCGGTGAGGGACTGGAGCAAACCCTCCCGGACCCTACCATCCAGGTCAAATGCCCGGCTCGCTGTCCGATAGCCACAGCTTTGTAGCTCAGTTTATCCAGCTGTAAAGCAGGTAGAAATGTTAATTAACAGACTGGACGTAATGTTATTTTCATTTCCATAAATCATCTTGTAAAGCCCGATTAAATGCAAAATAAATGCAAACCATAATTTTGCAAAAACATACCAGAATGCTAGCATATATTTCAGACTTTTTTTAAAACAGAATTAATTCCACTTACATTTCAGCTGTTTTAAGATTTTTAGGCTACATTAAACACCATTGAAAGCACATTTGTGGTTCCTACCCTCATCCTAAACCCTGAAGTGCAGCACAAGGCTACTTGACCACACATCTCACCTGTGAAGATCTTTGCCAGCTTCTGCACCTGAATGTCTGCCAGCAGAAAGAAGGGACTCTTCATCCACAGGGCAACAGAAAATTCAAAACCATGGATTGCAAAGAGGTAGCAAAGCAAAAATCAGAGCTCCGAACCCATCCATGGAGCCCAACCACTTTTTACCACCACGACAGCAACCCGGGTTCAAGGACTGCCCTTTCCCAAAAGAAGGGGAGTCCAACGAAGATGAAACGAAACCAAATTCTTTTCATAGTTTAAAGGCCACAGTTGCTGGGGGACGAGTCTCTGGAAAGACCTCCTGCGCTGGATAATTATGTACCTCTATCTCAATGTTTGGAACACAGCCCCAGCATGCTTTTTGGCCTCCACAATTCTGGCTTCCTGACTACAATACCATAATCCCTCCTGGAGTCTCAGGCTCAGTGAAAGCCACACGTAGTGTTTATTTTTCCCCTTGAAAGGGAACTCTGTCTCTCTTCTCAGCCTACACTTTGGGGAGGAGTTGTCAGCTTCCAGTGATTGATGGCTCTCCTTGCCACTCGCTCATCAAGTCAATTTTCACCTCGTCACATACCTGCCCAAATTTCTTTGCCAAACTGACAAGCATGGGAAAGCAGACTGGTTTGGGAGCCCAACCAAATTCCTCCAAGCTCTACTTCAGTTTAAACACACTCGCACACACAAACAAGTAGTACTTGTTCAGCAGTGGCATTAATTAAATTCAATGCTCAGTGTTCTTTTTAATCTACTTCCATTGTTGTTTATAAGATGTTTATCACTCCCCAGGGAGAGTACAATTTGTAGAGTATGTTAACCAAATCAATACATTGCTCATTGTATAACTCTTCAGCATCTTTCTCTATTGGGCAGGGAACAGCAAGATGTGAATGAAATATGGATCTTCCCCCCCACAAAGAAATCTCAAGCGCTCTAAAAGCCCAGCAGCTTCACCAGAAAAATCCAGGTACACAAAGCTTTAAAGCTAACAGCTTTATAGACGCATACACACACACAAGTATATAAGCGTCTACAAATATATATACACACACATATACGTCTAACAAGACTCTTCATCATAGTTCAATCTCCAAGCAAATCCGAGCATCACAACTATTAAACATTAATTCTGGAGGACTAATGGGAACCGGCTGGCAGCTTCAGTATTTTTTCATTGTTTGAACTTCTTTCATTTGCTTTCCAGGACTATCCTGTTTTTCTCAAGTCTTTTGCCACCAAGGGGGGGGGGGGGAAATCTGCATTTTAATTGACATTCCAGAGAGAGAGAGAAGTCCAGAGGCTGCTGATTGCTGTCTATTCAGCCCAAACAGGCTTTTCAGATGAAAATGAGTAAACGCTAGTGGAAGATTTACAGGGATTTGGTACAAAGGAGACAATGAAGTTTTAAATGTTGATAGCGTTTCACACTAAACGCATAATGCGTCCCAGTTTGAACGGGTCCTTTTGCATTTAAATATATATTTCACTGAGGATTTCTTATCACCTCCCACCCCCCCTCAGACGGGGGCAGTTGCGGCGCCCCGTTGCCC